TTTAAAAAAAAACTAAATCTGCAGGGGGGTGGCATTAGCAAATTTGGGGGGTGGAAATAGCAATTCTCTAAATTTAAGCTGAATATTTGGTTAATTTTAGGTTGAAATATTAAAATTAAATATTTAACCTAAAATTAACCAAATATTTAGCTTAAATTTAATAGCTAATTTTAGGTTAAATATTAAAATTAAGCATTTAATCTAAAATCAACCATTAAATTTAAAATTCAGCTACTGATTTTTGGTTTATTTTTTATTTTTGGTATTTTTTAGATCAAACTTAGATTGATTTTTTTGGCTGATTTGACATAAATTTAACTAAAATTTACAAATCAGCTACCGAATATTAGCCAATTTATAGTCAAATTGTAGTTAAATTGTAGTCGAATTGTATCTTTTCAACTAGTGTATTGAATATATCTCTTGGTTTTTTTGTTTTTTCTTTAGAGGCAGAAGAAATAAAAGTTTTTTTAGATTCTTTTTTGGAGAAGATAGATTTCAAAAGGTCAATTTTCTTTTCTCTTGGTATTGAAATAAGTTTAAAGATAATTGTAACTATTTTTGTTCTTTGGATAGTGGTTGTAACATATCAAAGCCTACGATCTATGTCATGATTCAAGCCTGTAATAGCCTGTGATCTAATACCATGATCCAAGCCTGTAATCTAATATTGTAATCCAAGCCCATGACCTCAGAATCTCACTAATATATAAATTATATAGTTATCAATTTATAGAGAATAGTATAATAACCCAAGTGCATAAATTATGTAGTTATAAATAGTAAAGAGTATAAATTATGTAGTAATAAATTGGTAGTTAGTATTAGTAATTACATTAGTAGTAATGGCAGAGAAAGTATATAAAGCAATACAAATATTTCTTGTACTAATTAGTCTGTTTAATGCAATAAAATCCATCTTCCTGAAAGTCTTAGTTAGAGGTTGGACCCGAGTAGAAATTGTACTATATGATATATAATAATTTACCCGGATAACCTGGGTAATTTAATAATATCCAGATAGAGATTTTCTCAACAGGTCCAACCTCTAGTCTTAGTTAATCTAGTTCATTACAGTTTAAACAAACTACTCTCAAATTCTAAACCTTGTTTTTAAAAACTGACTATTTTGTTTATTAACTGTTTACTAATTAATCCTCATCAAAATTAAGCCTTAAATATTCCTATCTATTGACATTAATTAACATTAGATTTACTTTCTTTTTTTTCTTTATATTTATTCTGCCCTAGTTATTATTCATTTTACATAGTAAAATAAATTGTTAAAATATATATATATAAAGAAATAATAATAATAATAATAATACTTCTGCTTTCTATTTTGGCTAGAAACACATCTCTATGCTGTTATTTTGAACCCTATCTTTCTATTCTTGAGCCTTTTATATTATTTAAAAATAACCAACTAGCAACAATTTTTCTTTATTTTTTATTATAAATCAAATAGAAGACCAACCTAATCTTAATGCCATTTTAGCAGTACTGAATCAAATCTAGTTGGACTATTAAGCACTTTATCAAGAAAATGCAGAACTCAGAAACATCCTCAACTAGTTGCAGACCCAAGAAGGTATACCTGTTCAGTATAAAGAACCTAAAATAAGCCTTCTAGATAAATTTGATAGTACAAGGGGTAAATTCAGAGAGTTCTTGAACCAAATTTATCTTGTTATATAAATACAACCCAATTGTTTTTCTGATGACTGTATTTAAGTAGGCCTTCTCAGAAGTATATTGACAAGACCAGCTTTAGCATGATTTTCTCCTTTACTAAAGAAATAATCAGAATTATTAGAAGACTTTGAAGCATTAGTTAAAGAATTTGAGAAATCTTTTGGTGATGCTGATAAGTCTAGAACAGCTACTAATAAGATACAAAAACTTTCCAAGGATCTAGAGCAGCTTCAAGTTACGCTTCAGAATTTAGATAAATTTCTGGGGATTTGAACTAAAAAAAAGCAGCATTAATTGATCAGTTTCGAACTGGGCTCCATAATGAAATAAAAGATTTGCTACTTACTTTAGAGGACCCAATTTTATTAAATGATGCAATTTCAAAGGTCATTAGATGTGATAATTGGCTGTTTGAACATAAGCAGGAGCGCCATCTTGATTTGTCCACAAGAAGATCCCAGCCCCAAATCATAAAAAACCCAATCTCCCTTATAGAAGACACTACTGAAGACTTATACAGATAGATGCTGTGAGATTCAAACCATTGTCAGAAGAAGAAAAAAGATTTAAGCTATTGTCAGAGGGGAAAAAAGATGATGCTGTACCAATAATCTCTGTCTATATTGCGGTAAACCAGAGCACATTGTTAAATATTACTCCAAGAAGTATAATTGGCCACCAAGAATCATACTATAGTCACCACAGAGAAATTGTCAAAAAACGAACAACCCCAGCTGCAGTAAGGAGGCTTCGGCTAGACCAAGAATTTAACTTACTCTCTAAAACATCATTAGTTAGTCTTACAACTGCACTTACTTCAGAAATAATCTATATGTACCTAATAGGTTCTAAATAAAAATACAAGCATTAGTTGACTCTAGTATTTTAGCATGTTTTTTGGACATTGCTCTGCCTAAGAATATAACCTACCTATTTTTAAAAAAGAAATATCATTATTGGTAGAAGTCATTAACGGTTGTAAACTTTTTTCCAGATCAGTTATACATAAAACTAGACTATTACTTTTGCATTTTCAAATCTACTACGAAAAAATATCTTTCAATCTTATTTTTTTGCTCTATTATAAAATAATCCTGAACCTGTCTTGGTTAGTTTTATATAACTCTAAGATTAACTAATGAAAGCGCTCTATTATCTTTTCTGATCCAATTTGCAAAACTTATATTCTGAACTCATCACTATTCAACACTCTCTTAATACCTGAAGAACAAATCTATATGGTTTGTATTTTTAGTGCTTTAGTAACTAGTGTTACAATGCTATAGCCTTTTTAGTGTAAATATAGCAAAGTAACAAGGTCACCTGGTGCAGTGATATACTTTATGAATATACACGGGTGGATGTGAAGTGTATACTTTAATTTCACAGCAGGAGGCAAACGGTTCGAGATAATAACAGTTTATAGATAATAATATTTATTTATTACAAATTCACGGTGATAACCTTGCCTGTAGGAATTATCCTAGAGAGGGAATATTACACTGTACAAGTAGAGAAGGGTTATTTATTACAAATTCACGGTAATAACCTTGCCTGTAGGAATTGGGAATATCACACTATACAAGTAGAGAAGAGTAAAGGGGTGGGGGCTAGATTCTATGAGAGGGTAGTAAACTCTAACTCGAATAGAAGGGGCAAAGGCTCCCTTTTTATAACTTTTCTACAGATAGAAGTGTAACGGTATAATTGCTATACCGTGTAGAGGTACTTAGAGGCACTTTG